TAACGACTAGACCCCACTGCGGTCTAAACACGCGGGACAGAACTGAGTCTGGCTGACACAAAAATCTCACTTGCCATAGCCTCCGGCTGGAAGTCCTCCGAGAGCCCGCAGTTTACGGGAAGCAGGTGAGCGCTCCCGTGGGGCCCTTTATAGCCTAGGTTCATCGCCCCGCCCCCTCCCGGCTCAGGCTGGGCTGCTGTTAACCCTTTGGACGCTGTCACAAAACTGCAAAGTAGGGGCTGGGAGCCAGGACTTCAGGGTTCTGTCCCCGGCTCTGGGAGGGGAGTGGGGCCCAGTGGCTCTGGGGAGGGGGGCTGCCCCCCCCCCAGTTGTCCACTGCTGATGAGACCCTTAGTCCTGACCTGCAGTCCCACTGTGTGCAGGGAATTTCTCTCCCACTTTGGAGCAGGGGCCCATCTACCCTGGTACCCTGGCTGTGCCCAGGCCCACCCCTCTGCTGTTCTGTGGGCGAGTCCCCCTGGTGGCCAGTGAAGGGTAAAGTCTCCCACCTGGTGCCCTTTGAGCCCCCCAAGAGCTGTTTCTCCTTCCAGCTGTTGCGGGGGGGGGACTGGATCCCGGCTCGCAGCTGACCCTCCAGGGGGCCGTGCTGGGGCTACTGTTGAGCCACCCAGGGGGTGTCCCCCTGTGGGATTTCGGGAGGCTCTTCCACCAGCACCATGGCCGGCACCTGGATCTGCCCCGGCACGGCTACCGCTCACTGCACCACCTGCTGGGTGACATGAAGGAGCTGGTGGTCCTGGACGAGGAGGGCAAGGAACCGTGGGTCCGGTGCCGGCGCCCAGTCTGCGACCTGCTGCCGGAGGCCAAGCCCCCCAAGAGACGCATCCGTCACCCCCAGATCCACAAGGAGGCGCCACCCAAACGGCAGCAGGCAGAGGCTCCTAAATCAGGTATAGTCATGGGGTGTAGGGGGCTGCCCCCTACTGGGGGAAATGGGAATTGCATGTGGTGGCTGTGTGTCCCTAACCCTTCCCTTTATTGGGGTAGCGAGCGCTACAGGTGTTGTCTACACTACCAGGCGCAACAGTGATTTTCAGGACAGGTCTATGTCAGGACTCCTGGGTCCTCTCCCTGGCTCAGGGAAGGGTGTGGGTGTCTAATGGTTAGAGCGGGGGAGGGGAGAGGGCAGGACTCCTGGGTTCCATCCCCAGCTCTAGGAGGGGGGTGGGGGTCTAGTGGTCAGAACAGGGCTCTGGTCCCAGTTCTGCCATCTACCTCTGGCAAATTCTCTCCCTCTCCCCCTTGAAAATAGCAGAATAACTCTTGCCTACAGATTGCGAAACTTAACCACAGCTCTCCCTTTGATGCCTTCTGGCAGGGGGGCACAGTCCAGCCCTGCGAATGCAGCTGCCTCTGGGGTGGAGCGCGTCAGCTTGCTGTAACAAGGCAAGCTATATGGTCCTGCCTCTGCTTTGGGGCAGGTGAAATCAATGATGGGGAGCCCGGGGGTACCCTGAATGACCAACGGGCCTCATGTAAACAGGGCTGGGACAGAGGAGGCAGCAAAGGGGGTGCAGGAAACCCCCCGCCTTAAATGCGGACGCCAGGTCCCAGGGAGTGACTGTGCCTGGGGAAGCGAACCTGGACACCCCCTCCCCCCACCCCTGATTCTTTGCCCAAGTCTCTAGCGATGGAGCTGAAAGACCCAGGCTTGTGCTATGGGGCCCAGCTGCCCCTAGGGGGAGCCCCGGCTCAGTGCAAAATCTGCGCTGGCTTACGACAGCTCCCGGGCAGAGCCAGTGCATTGCAAAACCCATGACAACGGGGCAGCCCCCGAAGCCCAACCGCTGATCGCCCAGCGGGGTCCGGCTCCGTGCGACCGGCGCCCCCTAGAGGGGCTCGTGCGTCCTACCGGGGATGGCGACGGGCGGCGTCTCACCGGGCGTCTCTTCTCTCCTCTCCCTCCAGCTCCCAGGCTTTGGAACTCCTGCCACCACCTGGCTGCCCCCCTGGGCCACCCGCCGGCCGGATCTGCCCCCGGGCACCAAGCCAACGCCTGGCTGCCCCGAGCTGTCTCGCTGAGCCACTTCCCCAGCTCCCGCCTTCCTGTGGCCGCCCCCCGGCAGCCGCCCCTGCTGACCTTCGCCAACCAGCCACTGGGCCTGGATGCGTACCGGGGGGCTGCCCTGAATAGCCCCGCGCTGGCCCCCAGCCGGCTGCCCCGTCCCGCCCGCCCGGCCAGCCCCCTGCTGGACCCCCCCGCGGTCGAGCGGGCCGAGCTGGAGCAGAATGTGGCGAGGGTCCTGCGGGGCCACCCCGGGGGCATCTCCCTCTTCCGCTTCCGCCAGGCCTACGGCGCCTCCTACAGTCACCCCTTCCCCCTGGACAGCTCGGCCTCGGTGAAGGAGCAGCTGGCAGCCATGCCGGGGGCGGTCAGGGTGGAGGGCTGGGGGGTGCAGACGATGCTCTTCCCGGTCTGCCCCCAGGAGCTCCCCAGCGAGGAGACTGGTACGTGCTGGGCGTCAGGGGTGAGTGGGGGGTGAAAGACCGTCCCAGGGATCGAACCTGGGGAGCGAGGGCCTCTGCGGCTTGAGCTGTGAGACCGTGGGTCAGGCTGGGCCTGAGTGGGATCGAGCTAAGCAGGGCCAGGCTGGGTCACTGCCAGGGGCGCTGGGTTCCGGGGAGTGGGGCAGGGCTCAGCAGGGGATGGGGGCTCAGCAGGGGGCGCTGTGCTGCAGGGAGCGGGGCGGGGGCTCAGCATGGGGTTGGGGGCTCAGTGGGGGGCGCTTTCTCCCTCTCTAAGCTTCCCAGTCACTGAGTGAATTCCCTTCTCTCCTGTCTGTTTAGGTCTCTCCCCATCTCTGCCAGAGGCAGTCGTCGCTCCTGCCAGCCCCGATGTGGCGCTGGCCGCCCCAGCTGTGATCTGTCCATCTCCTCCCATCTCTGCCAGCTCCCCAGAGGCCACCCTGGCTCCTGCAGACCCAGAGCAGCCCCCTGTTCTTTGCAGCCCTCCTCCAGGGCACAGGATGGCACCGGGGTCCCCAGCTGAGCTCCCCGTATCCCCCGCTGTCTCAGCAGCCCCCTGGTCACCAGAGATGAGATGGGAGCATGAATCCATGGGGCCCATCACTGAAGAGACAGACATCATGGAGGGCATCGCCACAGCTACACCAGCTGCTGGCACTGTGCCATATGACCTGGGGGCCGAGCTCTCCCTGCCGAGCTCTCCTCTGGCATCTTCTGTATCCCTGTCCCCTGCAGGTTCCCCCTGTGGTCCCACCCCACCGCTGAGCCTGGACCATGTGGTTGCCACGGATGCTGTCCTCTACGGCCTTAACTCTGCCCCCACCTCTGCAAGCTGTCCCAGCCCAGAGCCGTCCTTTTCCCCAGCTTTGCCAGGACCCATGTCTGGTGTCCATCCTCTGATGGCCGTGCTCTCCCCTGAGCCAGCCTGGTCCCCCATCCAAGACATCCCTGGTGCCGCAGATTTCCCCAGGGAGAGACCACCCTTCAGGCCCCTGCCTCTGGGTGAGCCCAGCTTGGCATCCCCCTACAAACATCGAGAGGACGGGGGGGCACCATGGGCGGCCATCAAGCCAGAGCCTCGTCTGCCCCGTATCTCCCCACCCCACCCCCCACCTATGGGGAGTAAGAGGAAGCCACCCAAGCACAAACCTGACCAGTGTGTCCTCCTGTGAGGTGGGCATTGTGAGTTGACCATGTCTGTGTGAAATTGGCGTGGAGGGGTGTGTGTGAAATTGACATGGGTGGGGACAACACAATAGGCTAGGTCAGGCTGGATAGGAGGGAGATTGTAGGACAAGCACCCACGTGTTAGAAAAGCATCTCTCCTGCTAGGGGAGAGGGAGCCGGATTCTGCCCCGGCTTCCGCATCGCCAGCTGAGAGCGGATCTGGAGCAGGCGGGGAAGGGGAAATGGTGAGGAGAAGGGGCCCAGGGGTTGATGTGGGGTTGGGTGGAGTCTTCATGATGTCAGCGGGCCAGTTTGAATGTAGGTGGATGGCCCATATCCTTGCAGCACCCCAGTGTGGGGCTGGATTGGCTCCAGTGCCCCCTAGAGGTGGAAGGCAGCTGTCTCCAAGTGAGGCAGCCAGTTCCCTCCCAGTAGCACTGGTCTGACTGAGAGGTGGATTCACTAGCAGAAAGTACATAGAAACATTTACTCCTTCCCTTAAAGCTGGGGTCTTTCTGGGATTCAGCCATCTGGGATGGATCCAGAACCCACCCTCTTTTTTAGTAGGGGCTGGGGCAGATCTAGAACCCACCCCAGCATGGTGGGAAAACTGGAACCTTCTCCACCAGTTGGGGGAATCTGTTGAATCTAGAACTCGCTCGGTTTGGGAAAGGAGGGTCTAGAACCCATTCCACGTGGTGAGGGAGGGCTGGGAATCTAGAACCGGCTAGATTGTGGTGTGGGGCATCTGGAACACACTCCATTTGGTCAGGACATGGTGGGATCTAGAACCTGTCCCACTTTGATGAATCTAGAACCCCCTCAGTTATGTGGAGGCCTGAGGAATGTAGCACTGATTCTGGTGGAGAATCTAGAGTGTGCTCCATTTTGTTGTGGGCTGGGGAATCTAGAACCCCCTCCATTCTCTGGGGATCTAGCCCCCACCCTGTTTTGGTGGGGGCATGCACATGCCCAGTGTTATGGGGGGCTGGCGGGAGAGGGTCTGTGGCCACTCCGGAGCCATATCATTGCCCTGAGCAAAGAAAAAATGTTATTTAAATATTTATTTTCGCACCCCTCTGGGGGAATCCTCTCATATTTTATTTAATGAATCTCCAGCTGTTCTCTCAATAAAATTTGCTTCCTGAATGATCTGCTCCTTTCTGCAGCATTTTTCCCATCACAGAGGGGAAAATCCATGAGCTGGTGGGGAAATCGCCTCTTAAAGGTGCTAGAGCAGAGTGACCCTTGGCTTGCAGAACCTAGAACCCAGCAAGGCTAAGTCATCACTGCAGGCTCCTTCACGTAGCCCGCTGGGGCAGCGTGTGCTGCAGGGAGATGACTGGGTTGACTCAGTACCGAGTTCCCTCGAGCAACTTCTCCAACTAAGGGAGACGCCGGCTGCTTCAGAGATAGTTGAGTGCCAAATGGTGTGAGAAGTGGGATCCTCATCCATCAAGCTCGTTCTCAGCCTGGCTCTAAGGTGACGTCTACACAGCAAGCAGCTGCAAGTCTCACAGCCTGGGTTTGTTTTTGTTTGCTGGTGCAGCCATTTTTTCTCTCATCGTGGAGTGGGGCAGGGAATGCATGACGTGATGGAAAACCCTGCTCTTTAGAGCAGCCGCCCCAGGCTTAGGGGATTGAGACAAGTGGTTTGTAACCTCCAATCCGCAGCCCCCTGGTGGTTCCCAGACTCTGCCTAAGATTTCCCAAGGGGTCAGCTTCTCTATTTGACATCTTCTTAGGGGTCTGCAAATTTAAAAAGCTCAAAATCCCTGCTCTGGAACCTAGCAGGGCAAAGTCACTTGGCCTAAACTACAATTTTCTGAGCTACCAGGGAACTAACTCTCCCCCGATCGTTGTCCCAGATCTAATCAGAAATTAGTGTGAGGTTCAGATGGGGAAGGTTTTGTATAGAATCATACAATATCAGGGTTGGAAGAGACCTCAGGAGATCATCTAGTCCAACCCCCTGCTCAAAGCAGGACCAATCCCCAAACAGCTTTTTGCCCCAGATCCCTAAATGGCCCCCCTCAAGGATTGAGCTCACAACCCTGGGTTTAGCAGGCCAATGCTCAAACCACTGAGCTATCCCTTCCCCCTTAGATCTGTTCGTTGGGGTGGTGCAGTCCATGGGATGTTCAGATTTTTGGACCTATCAATGACTGTCCGACCGCTCTTTAACACCCAGGGGCCTGGACAGTCTGTTGTGTATGTGGCCTGAATGCCGTTCTCCATCTTTAATGCAAGGGGGAAAACCCAACCACGTTGGCACTCTGGGATCATCTGAGCCGGTACAGGCAGCATCTTAGCTGGGTTGGGTGTAGCTGTGGCAGCGGGAGTTGGGGAGGGGGGCGAAATACACCCGGTAGGAAGGCGTAACCATCTGTCCCAGCTTTCAGTGACTGCCGGACTCCTGGTAGTCTCTGGTTCCTTTGGAACGGGCTGGCTGAAAGTGAACTGAGCAGGGTGTAGTGAAATCGAGGGGAAATAAAAATCTGCCAGCTGGTGAGAGTCTCCAGCTGTAAGTGCCTACGCAGGGCCTGGCCGTTTCACAAGATTTAGCAGACAAAGGTCCAACAAGGTAGAGGCTGAAGCCAGACAAATCTTCTATGAACTGTTCAAATTCTTTTTTTGAACTCAGTTGTCCTATTGGCCTTCACAGCATCCTCTGGCAGTGAGTTCCACAGGTTAACTAGGAGCAGGGGGAGAGTGCCCTAAAAAAGGCAGGGGCCTCAGTGCCAGAACTGTGCCTCAACCTCCACACCACACCACCCCTTCTCCCCAAGGCCCTGCCCCTTCCCCTGAGGCCCTGCCCCTGTGCCACCTCTTCCCCCCAAGACTCCACCCCCCATTTGCTCCTCTCTGCCCCCTCCCCCTGTCGCTCACCCTCAAAAACTGGGAGGCCCGTGGCCCCCTGTCACCCCCTGTTCCGGCACCCTGAGGTTAACTGGGAGTTGGATGAAGAATCTCTTCCTTAGGTTCATTTTTAAACCTGCTGCCTGTCCATTTCATCGGCTGGCCCCTGGGTGGTGTGTGATGTGAGAGGTAAATAACACTTCCCTGGTCCCTTTCACCACCCCCATCACAATCATTTTTAACAGGGAGGGGAATGAACTGGTGGATCAGTATAGCCGGAGCTGGGGTGGATTCTCGGTGGCTGGCCATTTGCAAATCAAGACGGGCTGGTCTGGCGAAAAGATCGGCTCTGCTTCAACCAGGAATGAATTCAGGGCGGCTGTGAGGCTGGGCAGGGAACCTTGCCGCCGCCTGCTGCTGCAAATCTGGGCTGTGCTGGGTCAGGTCCAGGGAGCCACCACGACCGCCAGGAATGTAGGATTTTCTCCTTTTCGTTTGAAACAGGACAATGCCCCCACCCCGAAAATAAATAAAGCCGCATTTCTGACTTCGGCCCAGCTTGTTCCTTGTGGCGGGTAGTTCCACAGGCAGAGAGAGAGAGAGAGAGTGTGTAGGTGTGAGACTTTCCTGTGCCCAGTTTTCAATTTGACACCTTTCCTATTGTGTTGTCCTCGTGGCTCAAAGAGGAGCTGCTGTTCCGCAGGGGGTGGTATGGCCTAGTGGTTAGAGCGCTCTGTGTGTGTGTGTGTGTGTGTGTGTGTGTGTGTGTCTCTTCCTGGTTTGGGCCTGCTGGGGGACCCTGGACAGGTTGCTTCCCCATTCCCTCTCCTGTGCCTCAGTTTCCCCATCTGGAAAAATGGGAGATTCACTATGGAAAAGTGCAGGATCAGAGCTGAGGGGTACAGTGACCATCTCTGGCCCATTCAGCATCTCATGACTAGTCCCCGTTCCCCCCACCAACTTGGTTCACACCGAGTCAAGGGTGCCTTGCAGACATGGCTCCCTAAACTGCAGCCTCTGGGTCCTGGGGCACAGAGAGTTAAAATCCAGGCCACCCCCTCCACTTGATCTGCTCCCGTCCAGCAGAGCCCCAAACAGGCCCAGGACCCACATCGCCTCAGCGGGGGGCATAGCTGTGCCCCTCTCCCCCAGCAGAATTGGCTTGTTCTGTGACCCCTCCCCTGCCCCCCCTTTCCAAGTTGTGCAGACCAATCTCTGAGCCCAGATTGTACGATTGGCCTGGATCCCCCTGGAGCAAGGCATCCTTTAAGGCCTTAACTCTGCCCGTACTTCCCAGCCTACAGTCGTCCTTTACCCTGGCACTGCCAGGACCACGGCCTGCTGCGACATCCCCCAGCTCCCTATGCCTGTCATCTCCCTTCATAGCTGCTACTCTGGGAGCACAGGGCCCCCAATGGCCCCGACACCCCCATATGTCCCCTCAGTGTCCCCCCCCAAGATCCCCCTCAAAGGACCCCTGCCAAGGAGACTGTCAAGGCTCCTTCCCCACTCTGAACTTTAGGGTACAAATGTGGGGGCCTGCATGAAAACTTCTAAGCTAGGGTTACCATATTTAGTGCCTCCGAAAGGAGGACACTCCACGGGGCCCCGGCCCCGCCCCCAGCCCTGCCCACGCCCCAACTCCGCCCCCTCCCCAAAGTCTCC